TGGGAGATAATTAATGAATGAATCACCTATTAAAGCAAGACGCGATGATACCGTTGTTACCTATGGACGAAACACCGTTTTTGTAAAATACAGTCTCTATAGCGTTCGCTGGCCTGGCTCCGGCAATCTTTTCCCATCCCGTATCCTGATCCTGACAACTCTGAGACCAACCTGAAGGGCATAGGTGCGCGCTTTGTAAAGTGTGAGCTACAGTTAAACAGCCTTGTGTCGTGCCTACACAATGCTGATGTTAGATAAAGAACGCGATTGTACGTGCAACACGTAGACAGGCAACTGTTTAAATACGTTTTGCGATTAGTCAAACTTATAGTTAAAAACGTATGAAATAGAAGCTGACGAATTGAAAAGTGCTCTTGTTAAAACAAGTACGTTTTCTCGAAGAATAATAAAAGTATTTTTTTAATTTTAAATTGTTCTTAAACTTCTCAGTTAAACATTTTCTTCACTAAAACAATATTTGTTTGTAATATTTATTTTAATAAATTTTATACATTATTTCGTTCAAAAGGAATCCTTTTCTCAGACTTTGCGCCGCACTAACGTTCAGCTATATTTTTCGCAGCGCGTCACTCGCACGTTGAGCCTCACCTGTGCTTAAAACAAAGCAGCAGGTGAAAACCATGCCGGCGAAACACAATGTCGTCATCTTGTATGTTTGCACTACAAACGACGGACAAGACTAAATTGCGAGAGGCTGGTGGCTCGGGAATCCCCCAGATCGTTCTACCTCCGGAACGGCATCTCTTGCTTCTAGTCGCGTCGCTGATGTACCTGTGCAAATGTCGTTACGTAACGCCGCTATCACGTGTAAAAGCTGAAATCGACACGCGTGACATCAGGTCGCGTAGACTCGTTGTTGAGTCGATAAACGGCCAAACGCGATCATCCGCGTTAACGGCTCCTCTTTAACAGAGAACCCCTCCTTTCTAACTTCAAGGTTTTAAAGTAATGCAATGTTTCTCATAATCGAGGTCCTAACGTTATGCGCGCCGTTTTTTTTTTTTTTTTACCTCGTGCTTTTGGCTTCGCTATCTCTTAATACTACGTAAGCACACGACATAATCGCGCGATAACGGCTTACAGCGGGATTTATTTTGTTGAACACGGGTTCCGTTGAAACTCGTATCCAATAAAATAAATCCTTCTATAAGCCGATTGCTATATAAACCGTGAAGCTTTATTCCGTCAAACGCAAACAGAATAGCGTGTTGATTTACATTCCGCGGTAAAAAAATTTGTGTAGATGCAATTTAACGCTCTCGTGAGAAGAGAACGCTCCTTTTTGCTTGTAAAGATTTAAAAAATTGCCAAGTGTTAAATGTTAATCGATTGAGTGTTCTTGCGAACGAGTCATTGATGCATCCGAATGTGTAATACGACGGCTGCGTCGATGACGGCTCGTACTCGTATTTAAAACAGCGATGAAGAATAACGGAAGATAATAGTTAAGCTATTTTTGCAGTGACACGTAATCGCGTATTTAACTGATAAAGAGCGCACAAGTAGAAGAGAGTTTTTTCTTTTTAAGAAAGTTTTATCGTATTTTACGTTTTACTGAAAGTACAAAAAGCCTTATCGCAAGACATGAATTTCATGTAAATAAAACCATAATTTGCGTCAATTGTGTAAAGATATTTTTCTTATATTTTGCAGAAGTCCGAAGAGAAATGATTACAAAGATTTAAATTAAAAGTGCTGTTCACTAAACGAACCACGCGCAAAACGTTGGGACCGATAAACGGATTCGTATATCCCGAGATTGATATTTTTCAAAGAAAGAGGAGAATCCAACCGGACTCGCGATCTCGTCGAGATCTCGCGGCTCGTTTAAAAACTCACGCGAGCTCGAATCTCTCGCACTTTGTACTTTGAAAGCGTACACTCACGCTCTTGTGCAAACGCCGATCCGTCATTGAACTCTCCTGGTAGCGATCGTCACACTTAGCTGGGGACCACCGTGCATCGCCGGCCGGGTTAAAGATCGGTGCGCCTCCTGCGCGGCTCCAGCTTGATGCGCTTCTCGAGCTGCGCTCGCGATTCGCTCTCGATGGACATCCGTCCCTCCCGTTCTGCCCGCGGAAAGCGAGATCTCGTCGCCGGTACGTGTGCCGGCTTACCCGTGCGACTGCGAGGCGGACACGTAACGAAATGAAAAGCAATCACCGTGCACCGTGCCACAACGGCGGACACGACGAGGAAGAGCAGAGGGGCATCCCATCCGCCTGCCTGTGTGATCGAACGATCGGATGCGGCTGGGTAAATACCGGCACCGCGCGACCATCCATTCACCGGCATTGTCGTTAAAAAGAGGGAAAAAAAAAGAAAAAAAAAAGAACGACGGCGAGGTCGGCAAACGATTATCTGGGATGTTCCGCGCTACCCAAGTGTGCGACGCTCACTTCGCCGTTGACACAAATTCGGCCTTCGCTGTCGTCGCATCGTTATCACTATACAAAAGTACTCGACACTTACTGCGAAACGAAGACGCGTCTGCTGGTTGCTGGCGCGTAACGTTAAACATTATATTAAATGTCTGAATGAGATCGCATGATTATACAGTCCCAAGGAAAGCGCACATATCGCCAGGATCAACTTTTATAAAGGACAATGTCTACGGGAGGGACAGGGCTTATTTTAAGATGTGAAAAAGATTTGACACATGCCCCCCCCCCCCCAATATATTATTTAACAGGCTATCCAAAGCCGTGCGGCCGCGAAATGTTCCAACTGTTGCAGCGTTAACAGAGTTTCCCACGATGTAGCCAATAGAATTGAACAAGCATCGGAAGCCTATATCGATGGCGAACATCGAAACCCGTGTCCTTCGTTTTACGTAACTACCTGGCATCGTTTACGCTCGTTAGCCAGTGGCATACACACATCGATACAGCAAGACGGTATATCTAACGCACCTCGCGAAATGAGCGACTCTTTCGTGAACATATAATAACAAAAATGATATAACGGAATTGCACGTTGCTTTCTCGGAATTTCGTTATTCGATAATGGCGCGTTACGGCGATATTCTTTTTGAAACAAATGGGTTAACGACTGTTGCAAAATAACTCTTTCGGGATGTCTCAAGATCCTGAGTCGCAACAACGAGTTTTAATTTTGACAAATTATTCAAGAGAAACTACACAAGAAAAAGAAAAATATCAAACATTAAACTAATATCTGACTTCACAAAAAGATACATTTAATGTTGCAAAACAAATCGCTAACAATTCAGTTTGATGAATTTTTTGGTTTTGTAAAAACTGCCTCCAAGCAAGGAAATTTTATATAAAAACGCAAACAAAATGTTATTCAGGTATGTTGGGGTTAGAGAATGATCTCACGTTCTCATTTTTAATGTATATTGAGATTCTCCCGCTCTCACTTTCAACTGAAAACGGTTGTCTCTTCTTTCGTTCTTATCACCCGTTATGTAAACGCTCTTGTTACTAAACATAAGTGAAATCTTGTCGACTTGTCCATTTTTTTAGATGCGTCAACCTGCGGGTATGACGGTCTTGCGTAAATAACGCATTTCTCGCAATAACTTGCGAAAGTAGTGTAATAAACATTAATCGATATTCCATTTTATATGCACTTACGGTATCTCCGACGTTATGAGGGAACACTCGGAATAAAAATATATTCAGAAAAACCGGAAAAACGGAAAAAGACACATTCGAAATTCTCCCGTGGAAATTGCCCAAATGACGTAAAGAACGAGACTTTACTTTTCCCATTACGCACCTTTATCTAAATTAGTTTGTCTAAATTGCTAGGTACGAGCTAAATTACAATTGCAATATTACATAGAACAAAAGTAATTTCTACTTCTTATCTGAAGATTACTTTGTAACAATCGATTTTTTAATTCAACTTTCTCAATTTTAACTTTGCGAATCGATTGTTCTATCTCGTTTAACTTTCGCTGCGGTTTTCACCGCTTTAACGTCATTGCAAAACCTTTAAGCTTAGTGATTTTAAATTGCACGTGATACAATTGCTGATTCGGTATCGGGATCTATATATAATACGATTTGAACTCCGAATGGCGTGCACAACAATGAGCGCAATCGATCCGATCAATTTTACGTGAATCGATCTCATCGTTTTCCGATGGGCAACGACAGTGTCGTTGGCCCGTATAGATGAAAGCCATTTCCTCATTACGGATAGGATGTATGAAAAGGCATATAGGATTTCAAACAAGTAAATGACAGCAAATTGCATTTAAATGAAAATGCATATGTCTGTTGTTTGGCTCAAAATATTTCTACACATTTATTTATATGCATTTAATTATATATTCATTTCGCTGTTTATTATATCTTCAGCAAACATCATTGTTAATTAAAACAGCATCGTCAAGCGCAGGTGTGACATTGTGCTAATTTACATACAGCAGAAATCTTAAGAAAATAATTAGCGTAATATTGTAGCGTTGAAGTATTTTGATGGAATGGGTGCGACTTTATTTTACCGTCAACAAAAGAATGCACCAAGTACACTCATAAAATCTCTTCTCAACTGTACAACAAAAAGTTACAAAAAAACAGTAACATAATTAATTGTGCAGCTTACAATAAGGAGACGAACATTTTCAAAGAAACAGCATTACGGAGTCAGGATTGGAATTTACGGGTAAAATATAAATAATAATCTATATTTACATGAATACAATGCGAGCTTTATTTAACGTGTAAACAACGAGTAATCCATGGATTATTATACATGTACATTTCGTCAAAAGTACCGGGAATTTAAGTTTTGTTTGCAGTATTATTTTCAGGTATAGTTATTTAGAAAAAAAAAACACAACTTTTAATATACTACGAAAAATTACTAAATTGGGGCGTAAACAATAACAGATTTATTACCAGCATCACGTATCTTTATACCACTGCAA